AAAACCAGAGTAGCCACATCTGGTCTTGGAAATAACTAATCCAAGTCCTACCAGATACTGAGAAACTATTCCAAGGAGAAGCCTCAGATACTTTACATACCCCTCCTTACACTTTCAATTTTCTTCATTCTTGTCCCTAGACATCTTGTCCCTAGACATCTCCTGTGTCAAGAGCTTTGCTTGAGCTATGCCTTGGAAACACAGGAGGCATTGTGTCCCTTGGGATATGGGTAGATCCAGCTAAAAACATTTGGGGTCACTTGAGTAGCCCTGTTAACTTTGTACACACTGCAGGAGCCCTTGAAAAGACAGAAATGGCAGCGTGATCACCACACCTTAAAAGTCAATGGTGTGGTCAGATCCTTTCTGCTTAAAACAGGAGTGTTTGAACACCGAACATTTGTCCATAGCATTCCATTATGCCCCAGCTTGTGGGAGTTTTTGTGCTTTTTCCTGATACAGATTTTGGAAACTTTTCTTGTAAATGTTGAGCTTATGAAATGGCTGGAGTTTGCATATTGCAGTCACTGAATTGGACAGGAATGGTGTCTAGTCTAATGGCCTTTCTTGTTTTGTCAGGGAAAACTGAATTTGCACTGGAAATGGGCAGAGCTATTAATTGCATGGTTTGCTGCTCAAACTCAGAGCAGGCTTTCATCTAGACAAATGAGAGAGATATGAGTCCACATCTATCTTCTCCCTACACATTTATTTCTTTTTCACATATGTAGAGCCAAGAGCAAGAAAAAATATTCTTTTAAAAGCTGCGAAGTGCCATATTATGAATGAAGCATATGTTACAAAAAAATATGGATTGGAAAGTAACATCACTGAGCTGAAAGGAAAGGGCACCCTGCAGAGAGGCAGCTAGCAAGGACACATCACAGAAGCAATAACCAAATTGAGACATTAAAATATGTCTTGTCTCCTAATCTGTCAGCAGAGCTCTGTCCTTGCTGCCTTCTCCCTTAACTCACGTTTTGCTGTGGACACCTGTGGAGGTGCTGCTGTTTGTCCAAAGAGTTTTGGGTGCCATTTCCAGTAGTGGGAGGTGAGCTGTGCATGACAGCTGCCCTCTAGGAGGTGGTTGCAATTAAATGCTTGGGCGTGTGCAGCTGGATGCCTGGTCAGTGAGTGCTGCCACACCCTTAGGACCCATGGGCATGGTCGGGGCTGGGTGTGTCAGTTCTGATGTGCAGGAGTTGTCTGCATATACTGCAGCTCTTGCATGCCCTTGGAGGAGTCAATTTACTGCTTGGTTTATGTTCTCTGCCTTTGAAGCAGAAGTGGTAGCATGCATTTGATCCTATTTTCCTATGCTTTCAGAATCCGCTTGCATAGGTGAGGGCCATGTAATGAGAAGATGAGATGAAAAGACGATCTGTTCCCTAAAAAGTTACAAAACTGCCAATAAAAACTCCTAAAGGAAATTTCTGTCTTTGGGCTTGGATGCTGACACAAAGCAAACCTTTACAATTACAAATCTATAATTAATGGAAGTTCAGTTTAGACCTTGTCCTAATACTTGGATAACAGAAAGAAAAGCAGAAGCTGTTAGTCCAATTTGCTGTTAGGCAAATAAAGACTGGATTCTGCTGATCCTCTTTTATAACTTGGTATTTTATGTGAAATCCTGGGATGCTGGTCACAGATTCACTGGTAATACAAAATTCTTACCTCTGTTCCTTGGAGGCTAGTAGATAAAATTTCAGGGACCAAGATTTCAGTATATCAAGGGAGATTCTAACAGTCTTTGAGCAAAATCGATAGACTGCAAAAAGAGGGAAGAATATTTTTGTATTTTCCTGAATTTTTACAGGTCCCTGTTGAGCTCTTGCTGGCCTCCTTGAAGCAAAACAAATAACAATCAGCCTGCTGAGACTCTAGAGGTAAAATGATGACAAATTTTGTTGCTGTGAAGGCTGCCAACATGCAGCTTTAAAATATTGCCAAGAAAACTAGACAATCAGATCTTGTTAAAAGGGTTATTTAAACACAAGGTGAATGGGTTGACCAGATCAGCTGAAAGTCAACAGTGGTGTCTCCATTCCAGTGCTTAATTAAGCTCATGTATTGGCCCCTTCCTAAATCTTTGACTCCTGGGAGTGCTGGGGAGAGGCTTGTGTGCCTTTGCTCTGCTTAGGTTGATCTGCTTTTGGACAAATGGGATATGCTCAGCTCCTGCAGTTGCCATTGAAAGCTGCCTTTTTGCAAAAGGCAGGGGGGTTTTGGCTGTCTGATCTTCCCTCAGTAACAGCCACTGCACAATGCCAAGATTATGATGTCTGGTTCAGCAGAGGGGTGACTCATGAATTGCTTTCCCAAACTGAACAAATCAGGCTCTGCTGCTTCTCTTGCACAAGCACCTGTTTGGCTTGACTTGAGTAAGTTCATTCCCTAATATGCAGCTGCTTACATTCCACCTGCCTATCCCTCACCACCTCAAGCATCTGTTTGGTTATGTAAACCAGCTTTCCTCATAATGATTGTAAGAATATTTGAGGAGCTGAGGTGTTGCTAATGTGATGTGGTCTTGGATGAGCAAGAGATGGATTGTCCCTGACGCTGTTTTTCAAGTTCCTCTGTGGACCAGAGAAATGTGAGAGAGTAGTTGTCCTGAGCTGAAACAGCAGGAGAACAGATCTGTGTGTTAAGAGATACAGCATCTGGATTCACTGCATCCTGGCTGGATTTTTTTGTGAGTTTCTCTCCCCAGCTGGCTCCATTCCTCCTCTCACACACCCTCCTGCACCCATGATAATCATCCACCCTTGGCTATTATAAGCAGTGCAAACAAATGACAAATCTCTGGGTGCAGGAAGTTAACAAGAGGCTGATCAGTAGCTTTAGTTATCTTTCCTTCATGTTTATTGCAGTCTGCTGCAGTTATTTCAAAGGCACTGACATTGATCGACAACTTCTATTAAGGCCCATCCAAGGCAGCTGGATTGAACAGATACATTAAATAAAGCAGTTATTGCTTTTCATTGCCTTTCCATAAAATATCACTGCTAAATAGCTTCTGCCATCAGATGCAGTTAGGTACATGGTTTTAATTTGAGGGACTGCTTTATAACACTGCACAATTGACATTGGTCTTTGTTTCCCCTACAATAATGATTGTGTACATCCTGGAGAATTGATGAGCTGTCTTCTGAGGCGGGAGGGGGGAGCTGGGAAGGGGGCAGCCGCCTTTGTTGCTCTTGCTCTTTTTATACTTGCCATGCTTGTCAGTTGTTTGCAGCACAGACAGAAATAATGTCAAGCAGGGCCCCTTATCTCAGGATGTTGTAATGTAGCTGCTGTAAGCCCTCGCCTGGAGACGAGATAAGAGCAACCTTACAAGCTTGTGGGGGAGCGAGGAGGGGGGCCAGCAGAGCCATCACTGGGACAACAATGGCAGAGCTGTCACTCGCACATTATGGCTCTTTCTGGTGCCAAGGAAAGATATGTATGCTGAGCGGTGAATAACAAGCACAAAAATAAAAGTCCCGAATGTTCATCTAATAATGATGTATTTGTAACAGGATTATACTGCCCAATGATATTCTTTCTTTATCTCCTCAGTAAATGGTGAGGCAGCTGTGTGCTTTGGCAAGGCATGATGTCCTTTCTTTTGTGTGCTGCATATTAATCCTTTATTGAAGTAATTAAATGTGTGCTTAATGGCAATGAGCTGGCAGAATGAACGTACAATTGAATTAGCAGTTATGATGGGGACCATGCTACAAGATGAACTAAATGCAATTACTGTAGGCATTTTTCTCCAAGTCTAATCTGGCTACATGACATGACTTAATTACAGGTTGTTAGACACACTGATCCCATAGCGGTGCATGTGGAGGCACAGCTTCATCAGCTCTGTGTGTACCTGTAACACACGCATGGGCACCGTTCACTGAGAAATTCAGTCTGGTGTCAATGCAGATTCCTGAAGGCAGGTCTTGATTGTGCTGAAAAAACACAGTTTAAAGACCAGACAAAGACCAGACTAAACCAGGAATGTGCTCTGTTACCGGGGGCATCTGGTGCAGCCTTTGACCAGGTCCTTCTCACCTGGTGACCATCCCCCCTTTTCCATTTTTTTAGGGAATACTTGTTCTTCCTTGAGGACAAAGAAAGTGTAGTAGTATTCTGTGTAGTCCTTTTCTCAACATTGGTGGCTCTGGTCAAACTCAGGTCTCAGCAGGAGTACAGACCAACTTGTCTGACCCCAGCTGGACATTTCTAGCCTAGCAGGAACACAGTTTGGGAGCTGGTGTTTGGAAATGCTTTAGAAACAAAAAGGAAAAAGGCAAAGCAATTTGAAGCTTTTAATTTTCAATGCTAACCAAGTTCTACAACATGACCCAGAGCTGCATCAGGACAAAGGTAGTGCTGGAATTTAGGATGTGCTAAGTTGCTGAGATTTCTGACGCTAGGGGGACTGCAACTACAGTATTGCAAGTATGGGTTTTACAGCTCTTTAGTGATGTAATATGTCAAACCTAGGATTCCCAGAGGAGTTTTGCCACTGGTTCAAAACTGGGCTAAGCTTCAGCTGTGAGCAAGGGAAGATTTGGTCTGTTTTGGTAGCTATAGAGTCTGGCTCACTGTTAGCAGCACAAGCATCTGCTTTCTTTTACCAGGGCACAGAAGGCAAGAAGTCCTTCTTGTCCCATGCCTCTCTGTGCTCTTAGTGTTCTGTGCCTGCTCCAGCAGCATTGCAGTCTTTTAAGGGAGGCAGGCTCTGAGGTATGGAATCTGCCAGGGAGGGTCCTGAGTGGGGAATGTGTTGTGACCACTCTTCACTCAGTCTGGAGGCAGCGCAAACCTTTCCTTACATCAGCAAGAGCTCCTCTGCCAAGCAGACACATCCCAGAGTTTAGCAAGTCCCGAAGTGCCAATCTCCTGCCACTCTTCCAGGAATGCAAACATTCCAGGGCGTCTCTGAGTTCCTGTGCAGAGGACTCCCGATCAGTGCTGCATTTGGGTGCCTGATTCTCTTGTATTGTCTGCAGTCGAATTTCCAGATCTGAGGAGAAGATGATGAGAGAAGTGATAATGAAAGCTGCTGGTATAATATGTAACCATGTATGAAACAAAAGAATGTTGTCTATTCTAACAAAATAAGGTAAGCCTTCTGGTCACCAGGACTCTTGAGGTTTATTTTACAGCTTTCATTCTCTTTGGTGCCATAAATGAAACCCTATCATCCCTAATGACCACAATGACTTTCCTCGATCATGTTATTGCTACTTTGGCACATTTATTGCTTTCACATGCACTAATGGATGGGTTTGGATATGTTAACAATTTATATATCATTTGATCCTAAAAAAGAGCCACCTCCCACCAACCAAACTAACTTAGCCTTGAGGATTGAGTAGCTTTTAAGGAGTATAAATGAATTTAATGCTTTAGAAAGAGCTTCTGTAAATTATGAACATGACACCTATTACATTAAGCTGCATTAAGCATTAATACATCTTCATTACTGGCAGGTTGCCCAAACCTCCAAGGTTGAAAAAGCTGCCTGAAATACCCAACGTGGTAGTCACCTAAGCTGAGATTTATGACCTCTTTTTGGGCAGATGGGACACCCTGGCTCTCAATGTGCTGCATTTGCCCATGAAGAAATGTCCTCGGAATACCTGTTGCATGATGGTTTTTTTCCTAGAGTTTTGCTAGCCTGTCTAATCCAAGTGTCAGACTCTAGGAAAAAAGGTGCGACAAATCTTGTGGAAGCTGCTACAGAAATAGAAACTGTCTTCACTAAGCTTTTTAAGCCACTGTTAGTGGCAGATTTCTTGGCAGATTTTTCTAACCACTGGCCAAAAATTATCTCACTGAGCATGTAATAGTAATTTCTTATTGTAAATCCTTTCTGCACTGTAGGCACCAAACGCTGAAATTGCTGAATTCGTGTTTCCAATGGTTTTGGAGGAAGAAAGTCTAAAAAATAATCACAGTACATTAATGAGAGCCTACTCCACACAGTCAGGGAAAGAAATAAAAGTGATTTTAGTGTCTTAAAAAGCAATATCCATTAGACTCAGATTTGGCTAAAAGTGGACTGAAAGGCTCTTATTTCAACAAGATGTACAGGCTCAGGGGAAAAAAACAAGTTAAATGCTTCTGACATTGTAATTGATTTTATGTGGTACATTTATGAGACTTTCAATTCATGTTCCATATGGGATTTAGCACTGAGATGTTATTGCAACTTCTGAGACGGTTATGTTGTCGTTTTGAAGGAACAATTTGGTGGTTCCTCTGTTCCCAGAAAAAGTACTGACTAGGGTTCAATGTTTACTCCTTACCACAGAGAAACACTTTAAACTGGAGACTGTTTTCTCACAGATGGGAGAACACATAGCACATCTTGGGAACTTGAGTGCCACAGGATGCTGTAGCGAGCCTCACGTTGGCAGGGAGAGGGTAATCCACTGTCTGGGAGAGGCTGTAATATTGAGACTGCAATCCAAGCATAAAGCAATGTGGTCACTATATGAGATGGAGATTTAATGGATATTGTTCATGGTGTTGGAATATATGAAGCAATAAATTGCTTTTCTGGATGATTTAATGCTGAAGCAAGGTTGAAGACTTAGGTAACTGCACATGGTTTACTGCAAATACTAGCTTTACAGAGGTAAATATAAAACCTAATAGACAACACAAAAGGGACAGAAAAACAAGCAAACCCCAAAAACTTTTAATCAAAGCAATATTCCAAGGTTCAAAGTCAAGCTCTCAGAAGTTGAGAAATACCATATTTAAGGTAACCTATCTAAATTACATGCCCTGGGAATGTGTGTGTATTTGTGTGAGGATATTTTTATATGGGTTACAATTATATAAACACATGTTTATTTCTTCCACATATTACCAACTTCAGTGCACAGCACGAACCACGCACAAAATGTTAAACAACTCCACAATATTTCTTCCTCTACTGATGGCTCAATGCCAGAGGTTATGTAAACCTTGCAATACATATGCATTTAATAATTTCCTGATGTTGTTCTTTGTGGTGACTGTCACTGCTGTGGACAAATATTAATGAATTTGTCTTTTTTGCTTTTCTGTGAAACAGCCAACTAACATACTTACATCATTGGGCATAATTCACTAGAAGAAAGTTTGAGTGCTTGAAGTTAAGCACATGCTTAGATCTCTCTGGGATCAGGGCCTCAAATGCCTTCACTGGATTAGTGGCAATGTGAAAATTAAAATAAATTGTAAATTAAATTAGTGTGCCTTATTTGAAACCGTGAAGCTTACCAGTGTTTCCTGAAAAAGCACATTAAGAAGAAATACTTACACATACAGGATTTAGACACCTGCTTATGTCTAACTGGAACTGTATCTGCTGTTTCTTGTTTTCTTTTCTTGCTGTTTGCACGCAAACACAAGTGGTGGTATTGTTGTTTGTTCTCTTAAGTGAAATCTAATTCAAAGGGACTTCAGGTTTTAGGAAGATTATCCTGGTTTCATCGGTGTCCATGGCAAAATTCCTATATTGAGAAGTGTGATGGACATCCAGGGTGATGTCCCTAAAAGGTGACATGCCATAAAAGCTTCCTTCCTGCTGTAATGTGCCTTCAGTAAAAGCTCTGTTCCTCCCCCCCCGCCCCCCCCCCAAGAAGTTTGGTGTTTCTGAAGAACATATTTGTTTACTTAATTAACCCATCTTGTGTAGATTGTCCAGCTTACTGGGAGTTTCTCAACGGAAAAAATAAGATTTGCTTGTTTACTGTTTTTCCAATTTTTAGCAGAGACTTTTCATAAACAGTCATGTTAATTATTTTCCCAGACCTTGTCATAAAATAAATGTTTGCCAGAAGAATTAACTCTACATTTGCTTTATAATTGCTCACAATTTCCTACATATGAAGTTGTAGAAGGGTATATGGTCTTGAGCCTTTTTGATTATTGTAATGTCCTGTTTCCTGGCAGAAACTATAGGTCAGTATTGTGCGAAAAAAAAAAAGGTTTGAAGGAATTGAGAAAATATCCTTAGATATTGAATAGAGTAACTGAATCAACTCTAATATTGACACTGAGAAGTGTATCTGTAAATGGGAGGATCAAGTTCTTAGGGTTTTCCTGGAAGATGGAAAAGGCTGTATTTAAGGTTAGGATGTCTTTTAATTGCAGGCTTGTATGATAATTGCATCCAAAGCTAAAAGTACATCAGTTTGTTGGTTGGTGGGGTTTTTTTTTTTTTGGGTTTTTTTTGGGTTTTTTTTTTTTTTTTTGGTACTAAGTGCTGTCCTGACTCTAAAAGATATCATAGTTTGATACAAAAAAATCGTACTCCCTTTTAGGCATGGGAAGAAAAAATATAGATGTATTTAAAGTATGTCACCTGCTTCCTTCTCAATATAATCCTCGTGTTTCCAGATGGTTGATGCTACAATAAAGAGCTTAGCAAGTTATTCTCTACTCTGCTTCACAGGGAAACTTGGTGCATGTACAACACATTCCCTCACTTAGTAAGTACACACAAAGAGTTTTGCAGGTTTCAAGGCCTGGAATTCTTTCTTGGGAATAGATGTGAGATAGATAACTATTTATAATGCTGGAAACATGTATAGTAAATTCTGTGTATGTGTATACATAACATATATAATTAGAATTTTTAAAAAGGTATATACACACATGTACACTCTGAAAGATTAGCATGGCTTAGATGCTAAACTGAGTTTGTGTGACACTTTACCTTGTGTATAAGTATCCAAGTGTTTTAAGTTTAATTTTCTATACCTGCTAGTGATTCACAGTGAAGTTATGCAGAAGAATTTAATATAAATAAATAAAATTTCATAAAATAAACATTTTAGAAACTGTGATTAGCAAATATGAATCAAAATATTGTACTTCAGACTTGAAGTTGGGAATTCTAAGCTCAGAAAGTTAACCACATTTAAGTTTTCTCTCTCATAAATAGGTACAGGAAAAGGTAAGAGTTAGACAGCTGTTGTCTTTAAGCCAAGCATCTGATGCATTTTGCTGTGAGTAGAACAAATGCAGGGTGACCTTGGGCCCTTTGTGTGAGCTCACTCTCACACTTAGTTAAGTATAGATGAAGACATCGAAGTGTTGGCTTGTGTTGCAGCTTCAGCCCTCACCAGTGGGATGCCAGATGCACTGAAACCATGTCACAGTTAAACTGTATTACTTGATTATTTTAATGCTGCCTGAGCACAAGTTTGCTGGGGCAGGGACCAGCTTGATGTCTCTTTCACAGCTTGAAGTGGATATTGTTTCTCTGTTGAGTGAGTTAAGTAAGGAAATGCTCTGTTATTATAAGTAAGGACTGTTTTGTCCCCATGCAGCCTCCACTTGGGGTACCTGATTGCTTCTTTATTACTCAAGGGCAGCCTAAATATCAGAGGTGAATTCAGTTTAATACAGCAAGGCACATGGGACTCTGTTCCTTGTAGTGAAACCCTAAATGACATTCTTGGTGTCTGTCTACGACCCAAAGAGCAGGGCAGCCACTGATCTGATGACAAATTTCAGTACTATTTGATTGAAAATTGGAAGGCAGGTACAGGAATGAATTCTTTACATAAATGGTTTTGTTGCTGGTAATGTCCAAGCTACTTCAGTTTCAAGGCAATGCTTGCCCAAGATGAACTAGCAGAGAAAGGAATACCTTTTAGTTTTCCACTTCAAGAACAGTAGGCCTTAGACTTGTACATGTTATAAATGTGCTTGCAATGTTGCTCTGTGTGTGTATTTACCTGTGGTCAGCTAGAGAAGTACAGACATTCTACTGGTGAATGTGCTTCAAGTAAAACCTCAGTGTCTGAGGGCATGAGTTCAGTCAGTTCCCTTTCCCTTCCAGGTTTTGGAAGGAAGAAGTGTCTGGCAGAGAGCTGTGTGTGGGATGCCCCTGCAGGCATGGGCTCAGGGATGAGGTATGAGGGAACATGAAATGGTTGTACACACTGCTCCCCCATGCTATGTTGATATGTTTACAAAGCCTGTTGTGTTTGACCATTTCCAGTGCTTCCCAACAGGAAGGAGGATTTGAAGTCAGGAATGTTTTGCAGAGTCAGCTCCTTGATTTATAGCTGTGTTTTAATGGTTCATCTGACTCCAGGGTCAGAGACATTTGTTCTTTCAAATCTTGTAGATGCAGAGTTTTCTGCCTTTGTCCCTGACTGATTTTAGCCAGAATCCATCCAGCTCAGGTAGGAGGGATCCTCTTCCTGTTCCTATTAGACAATTTGTTGTCATGATTGCTACAAGATTTCTGGATGATATAACTGCTGAAAGTTTTAATGAGACTAAGATTGCTTTTACAAATGAGCACTCAATGTGTCATTAAAATTGTTCTCTCACTGAAAGACTTCATACTTGAGAGGCTGCTGTAGCCATGGGGAAAAAATGGCTCAGACACCAGCCAATGAAGTCAGTAAATCAAAATAAATAAATGGAAATGCCAGGGGCTATGAGCATGTACTTGATGCAGTTCAGAGCAATTACTGTTACCTGAAGGGTGGGAATCCATCATGTAGAAGCAGCCCTACCTGTGGGTGGAAAATCTGCTCAGATCTGCGTGGTTTCAGTTCCAGTGGTGGCCTCTCAGCAGGAGACATTACCTCTGAGGGCACAGCTTGAAAGTCAAGCTTGACTTTTTTCAAGGACTCCAGTTATTTCTTGACTTGCTATTTTTTCAGCCCTCTCCCACTGCAAAGTGAGGATCCTAACTTCTGTCCAGGAAGGATGTCATTTTCTTTGGACTACTGAGCACAACCAGATCTTGTAATGATGCTCATTTGTACTGGCCAAACATGTTCTGCATGTAAAAATAATCAGTGAAAGTATGTGTGTTGGTGGAGTGATTTTAAACTTAGATTTTAAATCCTGCTGTTGAATTAAAGTAGAATTCCTTCATGTATTTCCTTGTTTGGTATAAATGGTCGTATGAAATTCAGCCTAATTTCCCCAGAAAGAAAATCAGTTGACCCTCACATTCTTAAAGGCTGAACTAAAAATTTGGAGGCTCACATCAAAGCTCTGTAAATAAAGTGAGTAACACTTTGGACACTTCTGGTGGGGAGCGGGAGAGGGGGAAATTCCCTCCATAAAGAACACCCAAGTATTCAAAAAGAAATGGCTAGATTGAAATATCTCACTGTTTTTCTTCTCTGGGGCTCCATGCTGAGGATTTTATTTTCCTTTGCAATGCCTGTGCTGCTGAGCCCTTTTTTCAGAGGTAGGCTGATGTTAGTGTGCTGAAGCCACTAGCAGGTTCACCAGAGCAAGTTTATTTGTAGTGTGGACTGAGTTGTGTTTGAGGGTGCCATTAGGGTTCAGAAGGCTCCCCAAGGCTTGATTATCAATGGCACTTCAAAGGACTAGAGCTCTGTGAACGAGTAGACGTGTTCCCTCACAGGCTCTGGGGTGAGGAGTGGGAAAGATACAGGCTCAAAGGTAGGAAACGGGAAGCATTTGTCCAAGGGCACTGGTAGTGAAGTAGGCACCCCCAGTCTTCATAAATGTGGTGGAGTCTGGGATCTGCAGAATGTGAGAACTCTACAGACATTACTGAAGGCAGCCAGGCAGCTCTCCCTGCCTTGCTACCTTGTGTAAATCAAATCTAGCCACGAGTTGAGGAGAAAGAAATACAATCACTTTTTTTTTGGGTTTTTTTTGGGTTTTTTTTTTTCTTTTTTTCTTTTTTTTTTTTTTTTTTTTTTTTTTTTATCCTGAGAGATATAAATGGAAATAATATAATTCATCTTAGATTTTTCTCGGGTATCATTTTAGATTTTGGGAATCTTTAAGTCACCCAAAGCTCCTTCGTTTGGCCAATCTAAGTAAACCTTAAACTTGGACTAGTTCCTTTTTTTAATATTGTGGCTTAGCTGAGTGCTTAGGTTTATTGAGGATGAAACCAGTAGTAGTTTTTGGTCTTAACTGCTTGAGGCACTGTTAAAAATGTGTTAAAGACTAGCAAAGGTGAGCAAAACCTAGGACTTCTTGCAAATGTGATCAGAGGTGCCTGCTTGTCTAAGAAGATTGTATCCTTAATAAGTCTGATGGTTATGGAAGAAGGCCCATATCTTTAATTTAAGGGTAGGAAGCTTGTGAACAAGTACTAAGTGACTTGACCAAGGTCATT